ATGAAACGAAAGAGCACATACCGCTAGAAAGCAGAGGACTATCAAAATGCAACTCATGGTAAGAGTTATAATGTAAAGTGTCAGTGGATGGTGAGGCTTCAGAGTTTTGATGATAAGTGTCATCTCTGTAGAAACTCCCATATATATCATAGGCAGTGAAGAAGCAGTCCTTGGTATCGCCATTGAAAATAAGTGACATACAGCTGCTACAATTCATAGAAAAGCAGGCTTTAGTGCAGTTGTCTAGAGAGGAATTCCTTTGGTTGGGTTTCATGAATTCAGTTCTATAATATCCAATACCAGGAAGCTTGTGTTTCATCACAATGTAGTGTTGGGAGACCTCAAAATTGGAGCAAGAACTTAAATCAAAATTAGATAGACAAAGTTATCACCCTTCAAGCAGCTTCAGCTTCCATTGTGGGTATTGCAGATCTCATATGGAGAACAATCCTTACATGCAGGATTTCCTGGCCATGATTTGATCTAGTTTGTATAGTCCGTTAGCTGAATATTTTTCCTCCATTGATTTCTTCATACTTGGAAGATGTGATGCTCCCATTTGAATCAAATTCATTCATTCATTCATTCATTAATTGTTTACAAGGTCTTGTGGTATGAGACCAATGGATTATAGTAAACTGTTTTGATGATCTCATGAGGCGTTAGTTGGCTGAGCTTCTCCAGGTCTTCTGCCACCAAGCCTTCTGTCCCTGCCCTGGACTTCACCGACCTGCCTGTTGCCCCTCCTGATGCATCTTGGGTTGGAAATTGAGTACTTGATTCATTTTAATGATAATGATTGGAGAGGGTCAAATTACTGCCAGTGTACAGAAGAAAAGTTGAGGTAGAGCTTACATGTAGAAGTAAATCACCATGCTTGATTTGCTTGGTGTTGGAAGTGTCCTTCTTGTAGAAGTTTAGTAGAAGAAATCCAAAACAGTCCCTCGTCTTGGACAATAGCTTGAGTCTCATAGTCATTCCTAATTAGGCCCATCCCTGTTGTGAAAATCTGGGCTGGGAGGAGAAATTATGAGGGAAAATCGAAACATCGCCATCAGAGTTTTGTAACACTAGGGAAGCTGCATTTTCCAACACTACGCCAAGGGCAAAATAGTTTCCAAAGTATAAACGATACAAGTGAGAAATTCCCATTGTCACTGACAATATCTTTGTCCCTGGCCTCAAGGCCTTCTGTGGTGTTCATAAAAACCGAATAATTGATGCCTGCCAATTGTCGATAATACCAATCAGGTGGAAGCTCATACCTCATGCTCATGAGAATCACAGGGAAAAGGAGCAATAGCAATAGCAGCACCATTTTTGCATTGTGTTGCATGAGAAACTCTGGATAGGGTTAAATCACACCGAAGTCAACCATGTTTTTGGGTCTTTCGCGAAGAAACAAGGCCGAGACTGAGACAGCATCAGAAATACGTTATGAAGCGATGCATCTAGACACGTGCTTTGAAAAATGGTCAATCGGTTTGAAATAGAAATACGTTGAGTTTCTAGGTTTAGCCAAACACGTTCTTTGAAAAATGGTCAATCGGTTTGAAATACGTTTAAATCGTCATATGGCTCTGTCCATGTAAAATGAGCATGGGGTGCACGGTTCTATGTCCAGAAGAGAAGATTGCCACAGCAATCATCACCTTGCTTTGTTTCTCCTGCCTGGGTGAGAGTTGGCCGAGGCAAGTGGCGCAAGAGCTGGCGAATTTTGGCGGGTCATGACGTCGCGTGGGAGAGGGTTGGTTGCAGCATCTTCACGGTGGGATCTTGTAGCTTATTTGCTTGACGAGGCAATCCGGCCCTTTTTTCTTTTGCAGCTATCTTGGATCATGAGAGCTTTTGATGCGCTTCTCAAGAAGTGGGTGAATGACTGTAGGCTGGGAGCAATTCTTGGATCGCAGACTAGGGCAAGAGGCAAGAGCTGGGCAAAGATCGCGCGTGGGGCTACGTGGTGTGCGTGGTGTGTGTGATAAGTATGGAAGTCAGTGGCAGAGTCTTGTTTCTGGGGGAGTCTGACTTCCGAAACAGTAGTGCAAGAGGTGGACTCTGCGGCGAGCCTGTATGGCGATTCCACCAGGAGCAGCTCAATCGTTGGAGGATAGTTTGCCGGACGACGGTTGACTGGAAATTGACCGACGGTTTGCAGTTTGTTGACTGACGACTCGTGTCCCTCAAGGCATTTAGCCGAGCGCCGTGGTGGAGAGGAGCAACCCGAGCTGGAGGAACTTGCCAAGATGGAGAGGACTCCCGCTCAGTGTGACAATGGTCCCATCGCCCTTGCAAGCCCATGCTGGCAAACACGAGCTCACTCGGTGGATGAAGCTTTGTAGAAGAGTTGAACTTTAGCTACTGCTCAAACTCTTGCTCCACCATGGACGACTCTGGGGAATCCTTAGCTTGTTCACGGCGTAAGCGGAAGCACAACCTGTCATAATCTTCGCTACTGGTCGATATTGCTCCGAGACCAATTACCATCGACTGTATCCTGCTGACCAAATTCCTATTTCGCTCGCGAAACTGCCAAGCATACAACTCGATGACTGACTCTAGAACTATGGCCATCCTCGTGTGCAGGACTTGGAGCCGCAGCTTCAAACAACTCCAATCCTCAAAGCTTCGATTCCAGTCGAAAAGCGCTAAAAGAGGAGGGAAAACCCTAGCATTTTAAATGAGGTTTCTAGCATATTCTCTTAAAGAATTTCCGCTCTTGAATTGAGAGCACACACACGCTTTAAGGGTTTCTCGTCTTTCTCTCTTTCCTTCCCGTTAAGCGGCAGTGGCCATGGGAGGAGGAAGCGAGCAGCAGTCGAGCTGGTACCAAAAGCTCCGGGGGACAGCGGCGGGCAAGAGAGATGGAGCTGGCGCTAGCAACAGCAGCGGCGGCGGCGGCGGCGGAGGAGGAGGGGGCTACGATTTCACGGTGAGGGGATCGGTCGCCGCCGAGAAGAATGCCACCACTAGAGCGCCCAAATCTGGAGCAGCATTGCCCCAGAGGATGGGTGTCTCGGACAAAGATAAGGAGATTAGCAGTAGCTCTAGCGCAGCAGCAGGGTCTCTGATAGAGAACCATCTCAGGAGCAGGAAGGAGCCTCCCTGGGACCAGGATTTCTCCTCAATGTCTAGCTGCCGCAGTGATCTCGACGGGAATAATCCAGGGCGGCGATCATCCAACAAGGGCGGCGAGGAGGAAGATCACGACGCTCTTCCCCCTTTGCTCAGGAATCCTCACATCGCGGAATTTGACATCGTGGAGGCGTGCTCCACTTCTTCTTCCGACTGCTGCTCCGATCCAGGGGGAGAGAATGGAGAGGACGAAGAGGGCGATTGCGATCTCGACCTGGCCGGCTCATGCAGCGGCCACGGCGGTGGCTGGGCGAGAAAGAGGAGGAATCACAACGACAACAGCTTCTCTGCATGCTTGCCGTCGGAGATCAAGGGGGTGGTGGCGGACAGTATCCCGCTGGTGAAGTACTCCCACAATCCCTACCAGGACTTCCGGGACTCGATGCTGGAGATGATCCGGGAGAAGGGTCTCCAGCAGTGGTGCGATCTCGAGGAGCTCTTGTTCTGCTACTTGAGCTTGAATTCGCCCGAGCACCACGAGGTGATCAAGCAGTCCTTTTCGGATGTTTGGCAGGATCTGGGATCGTCATCGGCTCGACTAGTTGGTCTTGGAGAGGAGGATTGAAAAGCCACCCCCAAAGGTAGCTCTTTCTCTTTTCTCTTTTTTTCTTTTTCTTTGTGTTCTTGCCTTTTCCTTCTTTTGTTTATCGCATCGTGTGCCATGAATGGGGGCTCGGATCGTTGGCATCATTCATTCAAGAGAATAGTTTCTTTTTTCGTGGCAAATGTGGGTGGCATGGCATGTGCTTGGATGTTTTTAATTGTGGCATCGCTGCTCACAAACATTGTGGTGTGTGCCAGGTGATCTCTGCTTTTCGTGACCGGACAGATGCGATGCGAGAAAAAAGGAGGCGAGTGCGCAGCGAGCTGAGCGAGAGCGGCATTAGCAAGCAAGCAAGCACGCAAGGTACCTCTTTTCTTCCATCCCTGGACCGGGAACAGAGAGGAAGAAAAGGAGAAAAGTTTCGTGGAGAAGCGTTCTTAAATGGTGCCAGAGCGAGCAGCGGCGCAGTCCGTCCGTCCGTGGTGGCCAAGAGAAAAGAAGAAAGGAAAAGTTGGAACTGGCACATAGCAGCAGGCAACCAACCAAGCGAGCTCTCCATCAATTCGGGTGCGCCATTTGCGACGAAAAGCTAGCGAGCAAAGAAGAGATCGATCGATCGATCAACCCGATCAAAGAACCAGCTCTTTCGACTGGAACGGGGTAACCACAGCAGCGGTGGCGATCACTCGCTCTCAGCGACACTTTCGTCTCGTTGCTTTGGAATCTGGACACGCAGCCACTTTGATCCATCCGGGGAGAGAGCATTCATAGCCGTGAAAGCGAAAAGGGGGTGAAGTGATCTCTCAAGCTGGTTGCTGCTGACCAGTGGAGGCGAGTGTACTCTCATCTATTGCGCTACAGTACAGTACACAGGACTTGTGCCCAGTGTCTACTCGCCTCTCCCTCGCAGCACTCACTCAAGTCATGCTTTTTCCTTTCGATTCTTTTCTCTGTGCTGCTGTGACTGTGAGCCATGGCGGAGGCATTCATTAAAATCTCTGCGCGCTCGCGATGGCGACCGAGTGAGTGAGAGCTCGACGGCGACATTGGCGGAGAGGGATGAAAGCAACGTTTTGATGGACAGTAGCTATAGCTGCGCTGCCACTCTGCGGGAGTTCTCTCCAGAGGGAAGCGAGAGATCTCCTTTAAGGCGTCCGTATTAATACGATATACTATCTCGCCACCTACGCTTGGCAGCGCGGGAAACCACCGGGCGTTTGAAAAGAAAGGGAAAGGACCAGCTTGCCACCTTTTTTCTTGATTGTATAAACAAAGTGCTGGGCAGGTTCTCGAGATTCCGGTGATATTCTTGGGTATCTATACGTTAACGGGTGAGAGATCCGCTGGCAGCCAGCCGAGATGTTATTAATGAAGCCAACCGCGACACACATTTTGGAGCGCCCATCCAAATCATGACGCAATCGACCCGGATTTTCAGCTGGGCTGATCTAGTCAAGAGTTTACGAGAATCTTTACTTTAGCTCAAAACTGTGAAGGATGGTTGATTGATTGGACGAAGTGTATGTATCGTTCGTAGCGTTTGACTTTTTATTGGTGGTTCCTTTGTTTTTTTTTACGTATCGATCAAGTACCTGTACAGAGCGAGGAAGGATGTGACTATAGAATCTTAGAAACGAGGTTACCTTTTAACCTCCAAGCCCTCGCAAAACTTCACAGAAGTCAAGCTCCCTGTCAAGCTCCCTGCTGTGAACTTTCTTTGGCTTTCACCCAGTGAGTCCAGCCTCGGTTGATCTCTCGGCTGCTGCCATCGAGCCTGAGAAGATGCAAAAACTGGTGTTCTTCGTCGCCGGATTGGTCCGCTGGAGAGAATGTAGCTGCCATCGATTCCACGCAGTCGTCGTGCTTGCACTCCTGCTTGAATTCCAGGATGATCCCGCGGAGCTCGTGGCTGTTTGCGATGTCAGCCGGGAGGCTCTAGGATTTTGTAAGGATTAGTAGATCTGCTAGAGCACGAGAAATGTGATTCTAGTACCTCCATCATCCAGCCTATGTACGCCACGTTGTTCACATGTTGATTCATGTCGAGATCCGCCCGTCTCGGCTGCATTATGGACAGTTTAAAGCCTCAAAGCAGCAACGTTTAAGATAGCACCACGACAAGACACGATTTACCTTGAGCCCGGTGATATGATGCTCTGCGTTTTCCAGTTTCGCCAGTTGGTGCTTCTTGTATGTGGCATGATCTTCTGGGAACGAAAATCTAAAATGCAGAACGAACGGCGTCACGCTTGCGACATAAACAGCTGAATCCCGACCTTGGAGGATCTAACGCGTATTGGTGATACTCTCCCCTGATCTCTTCATTTATTCTTGCAAATCGCCTTGTTTCTTGATTCATCATCACCCAGGTGCTGCACAACAACAAAAAGGTCAAAAAAAAAGAAAGAAAAGAAAGAAAAAACGTTTCGCTATATTCTTCGAAAAGACAAACCTGGTAGCTCGACCGAGTGTCAACCCGGTTTTGACATCCTTTAACAGCCAATCGCGTCGGGTCCCATTTCTATTCTCCTGGAACCATGTTTGGGCTTGCACGGCGTCACCCCTGTAAGATCAAAAGCTCTGTCACAGAAAAGAAAAACAAAGCACGCAGTTTTACCAACCAGTTTGGATAATCGTCCATTTCAATGTGCATGCGAACAGTCACCCAGATGAGATGATGCTTTCGCATCGATAAAGTTGTCGCGAATCCATCCGTGGAAAATCCAAGTGTTCTCACTTGGTTACAAGCCACCTCCTAAAATTCTCAAAAAGCTCTTGACAAGCGAAGAAAGGAAAGAATTTCCATACCTGGAGAAGATTTGCGATGGTCTGGATGGACGCCTTCTTGTTCGTGCCCACCTCGTAACAGCGTATAGTAAAATTCTCACTGTAGAGAATCCCGAAAGGCGGATCATCGCTGGCACCGCTGCTGAGATCCTTGGTCGGCGTTGGAATCAGCGTCGCAGCTGCGACGCCGTTGCTGCTCACAGCCGAATCGGACCTTAGATCGATCGCGGAGGCTATAGCTCGCCTCCCACGCCATGCAAGAGATGGAGATTTCTCCCTGCGCTGCTGCATTCTACAAAAGGAGGAGGTGGAGCAGGAGATTTCTCCCACTCCAGCGCCTAGAGCGTTCACCTGAGCCGCATTCCTCACAGCAGGCATTGCGATCTCCATCGCCGCTCCTCCCGTGAGCGTCATCGATCGATCGACGCCAGCGCCAGGCGTCCGCGCGTCTTGCTCCTCTCTCTCTCGCCCTCCGCAAAGAATATATTGCAAATCCCTTCCAACCCCTACCGTACACGTGGACGTCGCGTGTTCGATCCTAAACCCGTCTCTCTCCTTCCTCTCTAGGGTTTCTTTCACTATTACTTGGAGAGCTCCTGCTATGGCGATGACGATCGAAGGTTTGGCGATTTGAGATTCCATCCCTGGTCATGTAGCTAAGATTATAGCACGGATTCTTGCGCGCTGTGGCACTGGCGATGGCGATTGATTCGGCGTCGCCGAGAGCAGTGTGAGTGTTGTTCTCACGGGCACAATGGCAGACACTTCAGCTTATTTTCTCGCGTGCTTGCACCCCTGTAGGCTTGCTGGACTGGCGTTCATGTTTTCTGTGGGAATTATGATGCAAATCCTGGTGAGTAGATGGAAGATTTCTCTCTGGTGGATTAAAACTCGTTTTCTTTCACAGGCTTGTGCCTTGTACAGCAATTGGTGGCCAATGCTCACAGGTACCTCGATCAACTTTGGGTGTTCGTTGCTTTGATTCTTCTTCTCCAGCTCTCATGTACGTGATGGTTCCAATGCCTTGCTTGTTCTTCGGAAGCTCTTCGTCCGAGTCGCTTCTATCTGTCGGCGATGCTACTGGAGAGTAAGCTTCTCTTTTTTTCTTCCTCTCTAGAGAGCTTACCTGGACTGTTATAGCTGGGCTGATGCTGCAAAGTTCCTGACGGGATTTTCAACCGTGGGAAGCATTGCGATTCCGGCCATTTTGCGCCATGCGATGTTGATAGAGATCGGCGCCATGTTTCTCGCTTACTCGTCTTTCATTATTTTGACGAGCACCGTCATCTTGTTCCAATACGTGACTCGCGAGAGCGAGTGGTAGTGGCAGCAAGCTGTAACATTTGGAGGTGTTTATGTAAGATATCAAGATTCGTGATAGTTTTTCCTCTTTGTTGTTTATGAATTTTAGAGAGAACCACCTCAATCACTTCCTTGGCTTTGAAGTAAGACTTTCCTGCAAAAATGTGTAAGAAGTCAGTCGGATGTTTTGAAACAATAGCCATCAAGTTGCCTGAAAACTCTGACGGATCAGCTACTTGGGCTTCTCAGGCGTTCTTGCTGGTGGCGTTTGCTCTTGCTGGAAAGCGAGCGGTGGTAGAGGTTTTGCAGAGATGTTCTTGTGGGAAAATACCTTGATGAGCTCTTCCTGCTGCTTTAGAAATTCCAGTTTGCGCCGGCGCTCCTCAAGCGTGTCCTCGCTGGGCAGCACTGTGACACCGACCGAGTCCACCACTTCGTCTGGAAGCGATGACAGTGTCGCTTGGACAGCTTCTGCCGGTTTTAGTTTGTCCGGGACGAACGCCCTGCAAGAAAAACAATGACACAGCCGGAAACGAAAGGTAAAGTTTTTACCTGGACAAGATGAGGAGCGAGGATGGTACTGAGTGATCTAGTGACAAATCAAGCCAGTTGCTTAGCTGCAGAAAGCTCTCTTCAAACTTAAGACGCAGTTTTCTGAAGAAAAATAGAGACTTTACCTGTGCTTTCATCTCTTGTGGTGTCAAAGAAACAAGCATTCCTCGTTCCCGGCAAGCAGCTCGAAGCTCGGGTTCCGAAAGTGAGTATATTCCTTCCATTCTGATTAGCCGGTCATCGGATTTGATCCTGGAAGTAAGGAGCTACACTGCGTAAGCTTGAAGCTACTGCTAGCTCTTACCATGCCAGTTTTTTGCGAAGAGTGTAGCGCAGATACGCATCCGTCCCAAATGGTCGTAAGCCCATGTATTTACACATGCTTATCAATCGCGGCCTGCGTTTACAAGGAAAACGTTTAAACCTTTGGTGCAGGAAAATCACGGCTCAGACCTGCTGATGTTGTCCAAAGTCAGTTCGTCATTGAAGAGCTTTGCAAATCCCAGTATGTCCGCGTTTTTTATGCTTTGTCCAGTGCGGACCTGCCAGAGACAAAGCATGTTCCATAAAACCAGATGACAAAAAATATTATTCGCGAGGACCTTGGTCATAAAGTCGTCAAGATCTTTGGCGGTTTTCTGAATATCTTCTCCCCGTTTGGATTTGAGCTCGTCCACCATTTCCAGTAACGCATTCTTTAAGCCTTTCGCGTGGCGAAGCCGTGTTTCCAATCGTTTTGTCAACTCCGCCTGAAAAAACAGAACTAGACTGATTGTACGTTGGCGCAAAAGATATAAAACGGACCTCCTGCTTCAACTTGTCCTGGAATGTCGATGGTAGCATGTTGGGGAAGACCTTGAGAAGAACTGGCAGTAAGAACTCCATGAAGGGCACGATGACGATGATTATGAACGGGACTAAACGAGCAATGTCTCCTGCTGTCCGCCTTAGTTGGAGCTGTTCTCTTCGGCTTAGCTTCTTACCACCCGAGAGCTGGACGAGAAGCCTGGTGGAAATCCGGATCTCCGCCCATAGCAACTTACTTCCAACCCAATAATGTTGCAACTCCAGCCACACAGTCGTCTTTGCTTTCTTGAGCCACTTTGCCCAGTCCTCTCTGGAGTAAGCAAACTATTAAGAAAATCAAGGAACTAGCACTAACAAAAAACCTTGCCTGCTCATCGAAGCCATGTTTCTCAGTCCCGAGCCGATCCTCACAAGCAGATTCCATGTCTTTTGCAGAAGGGTCTTCTTCTCCAACTTATCCGGCAAAGGATCGTCACTAACTTGGAGTTCTTCCACTGATGCCGCAAGCCTCTTGCGCCACTTCCTCGCCTTTTCTTTCTCTTCCTCACTCGCCACCTTCCTATCATTTCTGGAAGAAGCATCGGAGGAGAAAAATAACAATGGCGGGAGCCGAGCAGCAGCTCCATCCTTGAAGCCATGAGGGACACGAAATCTTCCCTGGTCTACTCTACGAAGCTCGACTCTATATCCATGTTGCTGCTGCTGCTGCTGCTTATCCCTTCCACCATTAGAAGACACAAGACAATCGAGCAAACTGGGAAGAGCTCGATATCCGGAGTTGTGTGGAGGGACGTAGCGAAAGCTGACAACAGTAGCGTTCCTGTGCTGTGCTAATCTTCTCACGGCAAAGCTGAGGCTCCCAGCAACACGGACTTCCATGAGAAATCCAGCAGCACGGCACCAAAGCAAAGCTGCCTCCCATTAGATCGTCGAGCAGTAAAAATCCAAATCTTGGTCCAGCCGTCCCGGGAAGATGGAAGGCCAAATGGCTGCTTGAATTCCCGGAGCAAACTAAACAAGGAGTCGTGACCATCTGGATCCAAAGTCTCCGATGTGGCACGGCCATGTCACACTAGCTAAGCTGCTGACAAGGAAGGTATTTTCTTACTTGCAATAGCGGTCGGCTTTCTTCTTCACGCGCTCGTCCAGAGCCGCCTCTCGCGATGCCGATTCCTTCACAGACGCCGCGACAGCCGCGGCCGCGGCAGCAGAAGATTTCGGGATCTCATACCCGAATCTCTTCGTCTCCACAGGGAAGAGCTCCTCGTATTTCTTACTCTTCTTCCCATCCGGCGCATGCCCTATCCCTGTGTCGATCTCATAGCCCCCGGATTCCTCCAGTGTCTTCCCTGCGCCGGATTCTTCCTCCTCCTGCGCCTTGGCTTTCTTCTTCTTCCTCTTCTTCGCGATCGGCCTGTCGGCCGCATTGGCGCCGAGCTTGAGCGAGAGCTTACCTCCCTTGACGCTCTCGTAGGCGGACGATGCCATCCCTAAGAACCCTAAAATTTAGGGCTCTAGATTCTTTAACCCTTGAATCTTTAGACATCTAACTTGCCAGTGGCTGTATGTTATAAACCACGTCAAATTTCCGTGAATGTTAAATGTGAAACCAAATGTTGAAATAAAATATGTAACGAAAGATTCTATAATATCCTATTATACACTACTTGTACAGATCCTCTACTTGGCTTGGTGTGTGATAGCCCAAAATGTATTGTCCTACTCAAAAATATCACTGAAGTTGATGTTTTAACAGGCTTTAACACTACCACACATGGAGAATATACTTGGAAATATGATATTCCTTGTAGGATGAGTGGCCAATCAATCGATCCAACACGCCACAGAGAACAATGTTGGTGTGATACACGATTTGGTTGTGTTGTTTGCTAGTTTCTTATTTCATGGCTGTGGGTGAAACAAACAAAGGCCAACGCTCATAGAATATTCTTAGAATTTTTCAGTTGGTCGTGTTGTTCTCCTTTCATCCATTAATAGTAGTATTTGAAAAGCTAAACTAACTTTAGATGAAGAGAGTCCAAGGTAATACTTAAATGAAGGGAGTTCAAAGTAATACAGCCATAGAGAAAAGATGTGTAAATAGCAATATCAACATTGTAGCACACAAAAATGAAAGAAAAAAAAATTCATATGATAATACAGTTATGGAAATAAAAGAATAAGAATAAAGCAATAACTCAAATTATATAATAATACGGTTAAAAAACTTAATTTTCCCCTTCTTCGGAAAGCCATATTGGAAACTCAGAAACACTTTTTTCATGTCCATCCTTGATTTCATGTGACCTCATCCATGAATAACTATTCTATTGAACCAAAAATTCCTAAATTGTTTTGTTATATGCCTTTACTAACTTTTGAGTGAAAATTCTTATTGGACTAATCTTTTCAACATTAATCTTTAAGACTTGGATTATGAATTGATCCATAACATCACTAGAGTGTATACATGTTTTAAACTTGGTGATATGAATGTTTGATGAATTTTCAAACTAACTAATAAATCCAAAGTGTAAGTAAGATCCCCCACATATTGTTAAATTGTCCAAAGTCCATAATATTGTAGAGACAACTTAACACTATTACCTCCTTTTAGAGACCATTTTACATTACTTAGCTTAAAGAAAATTTTATCAGCAATTTTATACTTTTGATGATAATGATATTCATTAGTTAACCTTTTATCTTGTTTTTGAGCTTGCCTGCTCAAGATTATTTGAATAATCTTGAGAAAATCACAAACTCAAACTCACAATAAGCCTTGATTTATAACTATATGAATGGCAATGCTAATAATTAATTATTAAGCACTATTGTAAACAAACTTAAGCAAACTTAGGTTCTTTTTTATACTCCTCGCTAAGTCAAGTTTCCCACTTCTAAAAACTAATTTATATGCTTTATCTATCAATTCAATTGATTGTAGATGCTTACTATTAATTATGCTCAACTTAGTCTCTAACTCGCAAAGACTCTCAATATTGCACTCTTAAGCAATCTTTAACTTTCTATCATAAAATTATTCTTTCTCTATGTTTTAGGTAGTATTGCCCTAAAGTTATACTCCTTACTCATTTCATTGATATATATTAGAATAGATGGCAAAGGAGTGGGATATTGAGAAATATGACATTAATGATGATGACTATGATGAAAAAGAGGAGACTCTTAATGATAGAAATAGAAACTCAAAAAACATAAAAAAGGTAAAGGGATATTTATCAATTTTATGTTTGTGATTGACAACCATATGTGGTTTTGGTTTAAAAACAAGTATATGATTGGAGGAGAGGAGATGGAGGAGAGAGCGATGGCGGCAAATCACGCGCCATTGTCACCGCTCAGCTTCCTCTATAGATCCGCGGCAGTGTTTGGGGACAAAACATCGCTGATTCACGGCGCCTCATCCTTCACTTGGTCGCAAACTCTGGATCGATGCCGCCGTCTCGCATCCGCAATCTCACTCCGGCTCGGCGTCAATCCTGGCGCTGTGGTATGCGAGATTCCAGTGCTCTCGATCGAAATTGGCCGATCGATCCATCGAAATATCGTGTTCTTGGTTGTCATTTCTTGTTCTTGCGTTCTTCCAGGTCTCCGTCGTGGCGCCCAACGTCGCCGCGATCTATGAGATGCACTTCGGCGTTCCCATGGTCGGGGCGATCCTCAACACGATCAACTTCCGGCTGGACGCGCGCACAATCGCGCTGCTGCTGGATCACGCCCAGAGCCGCGCGGTCTTCGTGGACTCGGAGTTCTTCCCTCTCGTCACGCAAGCTCTCCAGCTCCTGGCCGAATCGTCCAAGCCTCTCCCCGAGCTCATCCTTATCAAAGATAAGTCCTATACTTCTCAAGCAGCTCACAGCTATGGTGGAATTCTAGAGTACGAGGAGTTGCTCGAGAATTCCAGCCCGGATTTTCCTCTCGTCTTTCCCGATGATGAAGAACAATCCATCGCCTTGAACTACACGTCCGGTACCACCTCCAGGCCCAAGGGTGTTCTCTACACTCACCGTGGAGCGTATCTCAACTCCATAGCCAGCATTCTCCTGTGGGAGATGGGACCTTTTCCAGTCTACCTCTGGACGCTCCCAATGTTCCACTGCAATGGCTGGTGTTTTACGTGGGCGATCGCGGCCCAAGGTGGAACCAACATTTGTCTACGCAACGTCACTGCCAAGGCCACCTTTGACGCCATAGCCGAGAGCTCCGTCACTCACCTCTCTGGAGCTCCCACGGTCCTCAACATGATCGCCAGCTCCATCCCCAGCGAGAGGAGAGATCTTCCACACAAGGTGGCGGTGAGAGTCGGGGGCGCTCCTCCGCCACCGGCGATTCTCTCGAGCATGGAGGAGCTCGGCTTCGTCGTAACACACTCTTACGGCCTCACGGAGACTTACGGGCCGGCGCTATTCTGCGCGTGGCGGCCTCACTGGAACTCTTTTCCTCTCGAGGAGCGAGCCAAGCTCAAGAGCCGGCAAGGCGTCGTCCACCTCGGGCTCCACCAGGCCGACGTCAAGGATCCGGCAACCATGGAGTCGGTTGCCCGAGATGGCCGGACACTGGGAGAAGTGATGGTCCGCGGAAGCACTGTGATGAAAGGCTACCACAGAGACGATGAAGCGACGAGGGCGGCGTTCCAGGGAGGATGGTTCCATACCGGTGACTTGGGAGTGATCCATCCGGATGGTTACATCCAGCTGCGCGACCGATCCAAGGATATCATCATCTCGGGTGGCGAGAACATCAGTAGCATCGAGGTGGAGTCCATTCTCTACGGCCATCCGGAAGTTCTCGAGGCGGCCGTGGTCGCTCGGCCCGACGATTTCTGGGGGGAGACGCCCTGCGCGTTCGTGACGCTCAAGAGGAGTGGTGGTGCGACCAGCGCTCGAGAGATCATCGATTACTGCCGGGCTCGGCTGCCCCACTTCATGGTTCCTCGATCTGTGGTGTTTGGAGCGCTTCCAAAGACTTCCACTGGTAAGGTCCAAAAGTTCTTGCTCCGGGACAGGGCCAGAGCCATGGGAAGCCTCAGAGCTCCCAGCAAGCTTTGATACTAATAGATGGTTGTATTATAAGAAAGCATCAAGCAGAATTCTGATATTGTTTCAAATATGCCACAATGGCACGCAATAACATGTCTTTTGCTTATTAGCATCTTATAAGCATATTCTGCATGAATCAACAGTGAACAAGATTGTTACAGGATTGAATAAGATTTCCTGCTTTCTCGAAATTCATGGTCAAGCGACAAGGTTGGTTCAAAACTTCTCTCCTCCAGTATTTGTTATTGAAACTGCGAGGAGACTTTGTCGAGAAGAGGAACTCTTTTAACTGCGAGAGAGATTTTGTTAAACCAGTTATGAAAAAAAGAGAAGTTGTGATACTTACCATCGCCGTAGCAAGCCATGGTTACTGGGGTGGAAATAATCTTCTCAGCAACTTTGCGAATATCATCCAAAGTCAGCTCACGAACGGTGTCGATAAACTCCTTTGCGGGTTTCCTGTCACCAAATAAAATGGTTACAATAGATTCACAAACCATTTAGCTCTCTAACCTGCAACCATAGGTGAGAATTTGCCGACCAATGTCCTCATTCACGACCACCTACAAAGAAAACATTTTGTTTATCTATGGAAAGACAAAAAGTTTTTTTTTTTTTTTTTGGAAGAAAATATTGTTCTACTTCACGAACCCGAGACTCGAGATTCATCAAAACAAGTGAAACGGTTGCATTCTTTGCGCGCTCCAATTCAATCTCGTCGACTGGAATGGAAAAGAGCGATCACAGACAAGCGAGAAGAGAAAAGTTTCAAAGTACCTTCTCCAGGTTCTGCCACAGAAATAAGCTCATCTCCTATGAGATCTACAAGCTCGCCTACAAACTTGTGCTCCTAGAAGAAGATCACAGGAACACGCGTTTAGCAACTAGAAACTATTGCGAGAGGGTGCTACTCACAGACGATGCGTGAATTCCAAACAAGCCGGAGTCATTGTACACGGAAGTAAAAGCAGTAAAATTCTCCACCTTGGGATGAACAGCCAGAACGCGAGTATCTGGAAGAGTTATTGGAAAATCCAAGTAAGAAAAAAACCAAAACCACGAACCGTACTTACACAATCTAGAATGGACACCCTTGCCCGGGCCTCCGGAAGAAAACGAACCACCTCCTCCAAGAAGCGACTAAAGGACGCAGACATTCTTACAGTAAACTTGATAGAGAAGGGAATCTTACTTGTAACACGGTCGCCGTGACAGCATCGCGTTCGTTTCTCCAGCCACCAGGGATTTCAAACGCGATGGAAACCGATGTAGTCTGCTTAAGGAATGAAAGTATTAAATCTGTCTACACTTCCACACAGAAAGAACAAGAAAAAAACGAAGAGGAAGAAGAAAAACTCTTACATCACTTTCGCCTTGAAGCCGCCACTCGCCACCAACATACTCGGACTTCACAGGCTCTGGAGGAGCCACCAGAGGCATGTCCTCGAACAACGGTTTAACCAGCGAGAGGAAATAGTCGTGTTCGACGCCAGAGCCAGCGAAAACCATCCGTGAAGCTGTATAGTTTGCCTAGAAAGATCCATGGTATTAGAAAACCACAAGAACAAGGAAAACTAAAAGAAGAGAGGAAGAACTTACAGCTACAAACTCGTGAAGAGCGCGAGAGTCGACTCTATCCAACGAGGACTCGCTTGTCACCAGTGCTTTGCCAAGAGGGCCCTTATAACCGGCAGGATGGAGAGCCTCGAGAAGCATTGCTTGAGGATCCTTCGCCATCTCTTGAATCTCTTCTCTCAAGATATCCACCTGTGGATCCAAAAGAAAAAGAAAGTTCTCAAAGATGATCAATCAACCAGCGAGAAAGGGACCTGTTCTTTGATTTCCCAGTCGTGGAAAGCCGGGTTCCGGATGCTATCGGCAAGAAGCTCCACAATCTCGGGAACAAAGCTCCTTATCACATCACCCGTATAAGACATTTGCTCTCGCGAAGCAGACGCAAGAACATTACCGCCGATGGCTTCCGCTTCGCGGACAAGCCTCAAGTGCGTCCGGTTTCGCGTGCTCTTGAAAGCCATGCGTTCCAGAATATGGCTCACGCCGGAGTTGAAAGGAGTCTCGTGAGAGCTGCCGGAATCAACATAAACTCCAATGGTTGCTGTCGGTCCCTGCACGAGAGATGGAGTAAGAACTCTCACAAAAAAAAAACGATTTTGAGCGTAGAAAACCATCGAGAATGGCAAGAGCTTCTCACCATAGTGTTCTCGGAAGCCACCGTCAATCCATTGGCGAGTTTGGTGATTTTAGTCTCCACTGGCAGAGCAAAGCCATCGTCCAGATCGAGAGGGAGTTTGACGCCTGGAAGAGGCTCGTAGAGCGTGGGAAGATCTGATAGCAGGCCCTTCTTTTTCTTGCGCTGGAACCACGAGAGCAACCCCTTTCCTTTGGGCTCCTCTGCGGCTGCTGTTCTGGCTGCTAAAGCTTGCTTGGAGACTCTGGAAGTCGAGATCGATCTCCAAGTATCGAGAGCGGCCTGAAAGAACTGATTCAATCGCCGCATTCAAGCTCCCAATGAGAGATCTCACCTCGCCCAGCCGCCTCGCTTTCTTCATCCCCCTCGCTAGGGTTTATTCAAGGTTTAAGGACCCTAAATTTTAGGGCTCTTGGGCAAGCGGTCGAGACGAAGAAGAAATCCAGGGATCCAGGGAAGAAAGCCGACCGCTATTGCAAGTAAGCCTGGGCAGCTTAGCTAGTTCTGCCACATCGAAGACTTTGGATCCAGATGGCCACGACTCCTTGTTTAGATTGCCCCGGGAATTCAAGCAGCTTCCATCGTCTGGATCGACCAAGATTCGACGATCTAAGAGGCAGGTAGTGGGAGCGTCAGCTTGGCCGTGAGAAGATTAGCACAGCACAGGAACGCTACTGCTGTCGCTACTTTCCTTCACACAACTCCGGCTATCGAGTTCTTCCCAGTTTGCTTGATTGTCTTGCGGTGAGAGGAGGGAGAAAGAGAAGCAGCAGCAGCAACATATCGAGTCGCTCAACAACAACAAATATCAAGGATGGAGCTGTTCTCATTCCGATGCTTCTTCCAGAAAGGGCAGGAAGGTGGCGAGTGAGGCTGAAGAACTCCACGTTAGTGATGATCCTTGGCCGGATAAGTTGAAGAGGAAGGCCCAACCAGAAACTCGCTTTCGGAACCCGAGGGCTAGTTTCCTTGACACCACAAGAGATGATAGCGTCTTAAGTCTGAAGAGCTTTCTGCAGAAGCAAATGGCTCGACTTTTAGATCGCTCTGTTCCAGGTAAAAACTTGGACTTTCGTTTCTGGTTATTTCATTGCTTGCTGTTTGATTTCTTGCAGAGCGTTCCCAGCGAGAAGAGCGCCAGCATTTCCAGAACAGCTCAGAGAGAGCTCATCAAGGTATTTTCCCACAAGAAAAGAAAATCCGCTAACACTCGTTACTCTTTCTCCAGCAAAAGCAAACACCACCGACCAAAAAAGCCTAAGTAGCTGCTTATAACTTCCGTCGGAGTTTTCAGGCAACTTGCTGGCCATTGGGAAAAGAAGAAGAAGCATTTTATGGTCGCAATGGCTGATAATGTGAAGCTCTCATCTTGTGTCTTCTACTGATATGGGAATTCCGGATCTATGCGTCTGAGCCAACTGTAAGAAACCCACTTTAAAGTTTTTGCTTGAAATTGAGAGGAAACCTTTATGTCACAATGTCATTGTGGCACCTTGGCATCATCCACCATAACAATTTCCCATGGGCATCCTTTTCATCAAACCGTGGGAGAGAACCTCCTGTTTCTATGCACTTCAAGCACCATCTTAAATCAGGGGAATTTTTCAAGAATATTCTATGGCCTGGGTTAGGTGTCAATCAATTTTGTGAGGACAAAATGAAAATTGACTTTTTATGACAAAACTTATGGCCATATTTCATGGTAATCACCAAACCAACTTTTTTATGAAGATTTTCTACACTTTATCAATAAGCTTGTAGAGCTTGATCTCTGCTAGATATTAAGCAGAGGACTTTGTTTTTAGATGCATATGCTGATTTTGTGATCTTTTCAGATGTATTGACACCTACAATGAATTACTAAAGGTTTGAGTTCAATAAATATGCAGTAGAAAGTCAAGAACATCGGTTTCCATCGCGCTTGAAATCCCTGGTGGCTGGAGAAACGAACGCGATGTTGTCACGGCGACCGTGTTACAAGTAAGCTTCCCTTCTCTATCAAGTTTACTGTAAGAATGTCTACGTCCTTTAGTCGCTTCTGGTTCGTTTTCTTCCGGAGGCCCGGGCAAGGGTGTCCATTCTAGATTGTGTAAGTACGGTTCGTGGTTTTGGTTTTCTTCTTACTTAATTTTTCCAGTAACTCTTCCAGATACTCGCATTCTGGCTGTTCATCCCATGGTGGAAAATTTTACTGCTTTTACTTCCGTGTACAATGACTCCGGCTTGTTTGGAATTCACGCATCGTCTGTGAGTAGCACTCTCTCGCAATAGTTTCTAGTTGCTAAACGCGTGTTCCTGTGATCTTCTTCTAGGAGCACAAGTTTGTAGGCGAGCTTGTAGATCTCATAGGAGATGAGCTACTTTGAAACTTTTCTCTTCTCGCTTGTCTTTGATCGCTCTTTTCCATTCCAGTCGACGAGATTGAATTGGAGCGCACACAGAATGCAACCGTTTCACTTGTTTTGATTAATCTCGAGTCTCGGGTTCGTGAAGTAGAACAATATTTTCTTCCAAAAAAAAAAAACTTTTTGTCTTTCCATAGATAAACAAAATGTTTTCTTTGTAGGTGGTCGTGAATGAGGACATTGGTCGGCAAATTCTCACCTATGGTTGCAGGTTAGAGAGCTAAATGGTTTGTGAATCTATTTGTGACCATTTTATTTGGTGACAGGAAACCCGCAAAGGAGTTTATCGACACCGTTCGAGAGCTGACTTTGGATGATATTGGCAAAGTTGCTGAGAAGATTATTTCCACCCCAGTAACCATGGCTTGCTACGGGTGATGGTAAGTATCACAACTTCTCTTTGTTTCACAACTGGTTTAACAAAATCTCTCTCACAGTTAAAAGAGTTCCTCTTCTCGACAAAGTCTCCTCGCAGTTTCAATAACAATTACTGGAGGAGAGAAGTTTTGAACCAACCTCGTCGCTTGACCATGAATTACGAGAAAGCAGGAAATCTTATTCAATCCTGTAACAAAGTTATTCGTTCACTGTTGTATTCATGCAGCATATGATTTAAGATGCTAATAAGTATATCTCAGTATGTTAGTCTATTCACAAGTGCTTAAAAGGAGCTTTTTGCACGATTGCTGCAAAGGACCTGTTATTGATGGTACGTGCCATTGTGGCACATTTGAAACAACTCAGTTTGTGATATATTAGAATTCTGCTTGATCAATGCTTTCTTATATTACTACCATCTTACTAAACATAATTAGTATCAAAGCTTGCTGGGAGCTTTGAGGCTTCCCATGGCTCTGGCCCTGTCTCGGAGCAAGAACTTTTGGACCTTACCAGTGGACGTCTTTGGAAGCTCTCCAAACACCAGGGATCGAGGAACCATGAAGTGGGGCATCCGAGCCCGGCAGTAATCGATGATCCCTCGAGCGCTGGTCGCACCACCAATGTCCTTGAGCGTCACGAATGCACAGGGCGTCTCCCCCCAGAAATCGTCGGGCCGAGCGACCACAGCCGCCTCAAGAACTTCCGGATGGCCGTAGAGAACCGACTCCACCTCGATGCTACTGATGTTCTCGCCACCCGAGATGATGATATCCTTGGATCGGTCGCGCAGCTGGATGTAACCATCCGGATGGAGCACTCCCAAGTCACCGGTATGGAACCATCCTCCCTGGAACGCCGCCCTCGTCGCCTCATCGTCTCTGTGGTAGCCTTTCATCACAGTGCTTCCGCGGACCATCACTTCTCCCAGCGTCCGGCCATCTCGGGCAACCGACTCCATGGTTGCCGGATCCTTGACGTCGGCCTGGTGGAGCCCGAGGTGGACGACGCCTTGCCGGCTCTTGAGCTTGGCTCGCTCCTCGAGAGGAAAAGAGTTCCAGTGAGGCCGCCACGAGCAGACTAAAGCCGGCCCGTAAGTCTCCGTGAGGCCGTAAGCGTGTGTCACGACGAAGCCGAGCTCCTCCATGCTCGACAGGATCGCCGCTGGCGGAGGAGCGCCCCCGACGATCACCGCCACCTTGTCCGGAAGATCTCTCCTCTCGCTGGGCATGGAGCTGGCGATCATGTTGAGGACCGTGGGAGCTCCAGAGAGGTGAGTGACGGAGCTCTCGGCTATGGCATCAAAGGTGGCTTTGGCAGTGACGTTGCGTAGACAAATGTTGGTTCCACCCTGGGCAGCGATCGCCCACGTAAAGCACCAGCCATTGCAGTGGAACATTGGGAGCGTCCAGAGGTAGACTGGAAAAGGTCCCATCTCCCACAGGAGAATGCTGGCTATGGAGTTGAGATAAGCTCCACGGTGAGTGTAGAGAACGCCCTTGGGCCTGGAGGTGGTACCGGACGTGTAGTTCAAGGCGATGGACTGTTCTTCATCGTCGGGGAGGACGAGAGGAAAATCCGGGCTGGAATTCTCGAGCAACTCCTCGTACTCTAGAATTCCACCATAGCTGTGAGCTGCTTGAGAAGTATAGGACTTATCTTTGACAAGGACGAGCTGGGGGAGAGGCTTGGACGATTCGGCCAGGAGCTGGAGAGCTTGCGTGACGAGAGGGAAGAACTCCGAGTCCACAAAGACCGCGCGGCTCTGGGCGTGATCCAGCAGCAGCGCGATTGTGCGCGCGTCCAGCCGGAAGTTGATCGTGTTGAGGATCGCCCCGGCCATGGGAACGCCGAAGTGCATCTCATAGATCGCGGCGACGTTGGGGGCCACGACGGAGACCTGGAAGAACAAGAAATGACAACCAAGAACACGATATTTCGATGGATCAATCGGCCAATTTCGATCGAGAGCACTGGAATTTCGCATACCACAGCGCCAGGATTGACGCCGAGCCGGAGTGAGATTGCGGACGCGAGACGGCGGCATCGATCCAGAGTCTGCGACCAAGTGAAGCATGAGGTACCGTGAATCAGCGATGTCCTGTCCCCAAACACTGCCGCGGATCTATAGAGGAAGCTGAGCGGCGACAATGGCGCGTGATTCGCCGCCATCCCTCTCTCCTCCATCTCCTCTCCCCTATTCCTCCCGTGATCCTCCAATCATATACTTGTTTTAAAACCAAACGTCCTCTTTTATTTGACCAAAGCTTTAGCATTTCGCAGCTTTCTACCTCGATCGAGCGCTGGAAGAAACACGAAAGAATTCTAAAACCAGATCCTTCAGCAAGAAACTCGACCACTCACCATCTTGCTCGTAGCAGTAGCAAAACTTCGATCACCACTCGACCATCATCCTTCTTTGCAAACTGGACCATCGCTCGCGATCTTCTTCTTGTAATGCAGCGCAATGGATCATCGCGATCTTCTTCATTTTCTACTCCTCCTTGTAATGCAGCGCGCTGTCCCAGTAATGCCCAACTCCAGCGTCGGACAAGTACTTCCTCGCGGCCCCGGCAGTGTGGAACTTTTGGAAGAAGAACCTGTCAAACGCTGGCCGAGCTACGCTTCCCTGCCACACCTGGACGCACTTGTTCTCCTTCTCCTCGTTTCCATCCTCCTCGTCCCCCTGCTCGTTTCCACCGCTGCCTTCTTCCTTCGCCGACCAGTTGATCCTCCGGAGCATCAGCTTGGTGTATCGCTTGATCGACTTTGCGCCACCCTCGACGATCACCACCGTCATGCCGTCGGTGATGATCGCGCAACCTGTGAGCCTGTTCTCCTGGGCGTTGATGTCCACCTTAAACCGAGTCTGGGGGTGGGAGATGTCGCTCACCCGGAACACCGCGACTATGGTTTCCAGCGTCCCCTGGTCGTCAAAGAGCCTCTTTTCCTTCTTCTCGCGTCTCTCGGCTGGAGTGAGCTTCCTGGCGAGGTTTCTGTCCGTGTGAGCGCGCTCTCTCTCGGCCGCGGCAGTCCTGATCTCGTGTTCCATCCTCGTCGGGTCCTGGGTTGCCTCGGCTCCCAGCACGCTCATGAGGTTGGACATCTTCACCTTTGCTTTTGGAGGTTCGATCTTTCCCTGCCTGATCAGCTCTTGCCTTTCTTTTTCCCTGGCTAGACGACGCTGGGTCCGCATTTTCTTCTGCTCCTTTTTCGTTAGCTTGAGTGGCTGTGGTGGTGGAGGCGCTGGCTCTGCTGGGGGTTCGATCGGTACGGGGTGCTCAACGTAGATATTGATCTTCTCTTTCTTGAACTTCACGTCAGCTCCGTCGATCACCTCGTCGTAACTCTGTGTCTGAGGAGGTAGAACAGCGAAATCCCTGTAGGAAAACTTCATGTCAGATTTTACTTTGTGCTTAACTCAAGAAAACTTACCACCACTCCACATGAGGAATCGGGTCTTGGTGCTGTTTGTCATCCTTGAATATCCTCTCCGTAACTTCTATAAGATTTGGGTTAATGTCCCCTTCTGCTTTGGCCTTTGCAAGGGCCGCCTGCTTCGACCTTATCTCGCGGGCTTTAGCAGCCCCAAAACGATTCTAAACACAAGTTATGAGTGACTAGTAGAAGAAAAAAAATCAAAGTACTTACATTAAGTCGAAAGATTTCCGCCTTTTTCGTCCATCTTCCCTCTTCCACGAACTGAAAGGAGTTTCTCCTTTGACGTACAAGCTTTGTTCTGTCCATTCCCATGTCAGCATCAAAATGAGGATTATTTATTGGATCCTCCTCCAATTCTGGATGTAAAATCTGGAAAGCATCCTTCTTTTGCTTGTTGATGTTCACCTAAGTACATATAACAAACCGTAGAAAGATCAGACCGCACCCCAAAAACAACCAACTCACCTTGAGTGTGCTGATGTTTGACTTCCGGTTATCCACAACGACACCGTGCTCGTCAATCTCTCTTCCTTGCTTGTCCAAGCGAAGAACGGGGTGCTTTACAACTTTTGGCCCAGCCGATGGAACACCCGGTACGTGAAGTGCCATGGAACCAGGCGGCTGCTGGAAGCCGAGGCGAGCTACGCATTCCTGAGCACGCTTGTAACTCGCTATGTTTGCGGCATTAGCAACAACGTCCACTGTTCCGGAAGGCACCACAGAATCTGGGGTTATAGTGTTCGCGCTATCATTTTCGTTTGCCAGCTGCTCCAACTAGAAACAAGAGAAGAGAAAAAGGAACTCAAACAAAAGAAATAAAAAACTTCCACTTCACTTACCAGTGGCAACTTTTTCAGCTTCTCGTTGAGCTCCTTGCGAAGCTGCCGCATTCTCGCCTTGGCCTTCGCTATGGCCGATGCATCACCAGCAACTGGTGCCACCTCTGGTTCCGGTGCTGGAGACGGTTCTTGAGCAACAGGGGCAGTCTGTGGAACAGCCGCTGGAGCTGCTGCTGGAGCTGGAACAGGGGCAGGAACAGGAACAGGAGCTGGAGATGAAAATGGAGCCGGTGTTGGAGTTGAGGCCGGAGTTAAGGCCACCACTGGTTGTGCTGGTGTTTGTCCATTCATCTCTACATTGGAAGCTTTCTCTTCTTCAGCAAATTCGCTACGACTCCGCTTACTCACCGACTTATCGGCCGTCTCCTTCTCCAAATCGCGCTTGCGCTTCGCGTCCTTCCTTGATTCATCCTCCTGATCCCTGCTCCGCTTCTCCACCTTAGATCCATCTTCCTGATCCCTGCTACGCTTCTTCAAATCATCATCTTGCTCCCTGCCGCGCTTCTCCGACCTCGTTTTCTCCTTCTCCTCCTTGGAAGACTTGTGACCTCGGTCGTGCCTCTCCTCCTTGGATTTGTGATGCCGCCTATCATCCTCCTGCTTGTCATACCTCGAAGAAGAAGATTTGTGGCGCCGGCGAT